CACATCTATACGGTCTTCCCGACACCCACTCCTACCTACCTGATAAAACATATAAACGCGCTCGAAACGCTCGCTCTCCTTGATGTCTTATCACGATCAAAACATTTCTTGCACCTTCACATTGCCCAAGATGGCCAGCCAACCGGAAGAAACCGCGGCTCCCCTTTCCTCCCCCCGCCCCCGCTCCAACCCGGACGACTGGCCCCTCTGGAACATCGACCTCCGGATGCTCGCCCTCGACGTCAACCTAACAGACTACCTCTCCGGCAACGACCCCGACAAAGGAGGAGATGGTCAACCGGTGGAAGAACTCAAGTCACCGTTCGAGCACGGCGTGACTGGGCCCGAGGGGGTGGTGCCAGAGGATATCCACGAGAGGGAACAGCATTACCAGGCTCGGTATGTCTACCATGAGTTCAGATGGTGTTTGGAAAAAGTACTGCAACAAGATTGGGGTGACGGGGTTGCGGGAGTGGGTTTTGGGAAATGTGGATGGTGATATTGAGGAGGGAGCTGGAGGGGGGTGGTATAGGTTTTTGAAGGGCGTGTTTGAATCTGGAGATGATGAGAAGGTTGTTAATGGGGACGGGGTGTCACGGTTGGAAACTTGGATGTAAATAGAATGGCGTGTTTTATTGGATGCACATGCTGGTGGTGGATGCCGGTGGACCCAGCTGGAACCCGAGGACCCTTGGTGCGTCATAGGCGTGGGGTTTTAGCGTAGGAGGCCCCCTGTTTTCTCGGCAGCGGGGTTTGACGTCGGAATGGCCATGATCGTCATCACTGCCATATGTACCAACACAACACTGCTTCTGCCGGCCATGTCAGATCTTCACTTCTCTGAGGTTATATCTGCACATAAGCCCAAAATGGCCGAATCCGGAAGTAGTTTCCTTGTGATGAAGAGGGCCGGGAGGCCAACCATCTCGCTCTCTTCAGGCACACCGCCCATGATAGGCCCGGGTGATGTGTGCTGGCGTAATCGCGCATCTGGGCCGGCCTATGAATGCCGGATCGTCCGAGTCACTGGGGCAAAAAGTGAAGTGCCAGTCTGCTGGTCGCCCCAACCCCGTGGTGCCGCTCAACGCCGACAAAATCGTGGCGGAGGGCCTTTTCACCCCCATCATTTTTGCACTTATCTGATCAGAGAGACGAAAACACAGCGAATGGGAGTTAGCAAACACTGCCTGTCCTGCCACTCTTGTCAGCTGTCTTGTGCTCCTTTCACTGACTGTTCCCATTGCCCAGATGTGCCTAGTTGTTTGACGTAACCCTGCAAGACCACAAGCTGCCTCTTTTTTGCCCGAGGTAGCTTTTGACTGAGGCCATTCACAGGGTGACAGGCGCATACCTACTACTTATTGCCACCTGCGAACCCACCCCCCCTACCTCTCGTGGTTTACTTTCCTCCCTTTTCTCCACAAGCGCCAACGCATCATACCTTACACATATTCAAGAACCTTTTACTTGGTATATATAAACAACCAACCAACACAGTCACCTTCCCGTCAAACCATGCCCCGACGTCGTGACTTTCCCCAACGAGAAGAGAACCCCAACCGCCGCATCGACGCCTGGGACGACGGTTTTGCTCCTCCTCATCAAATGCCCCGCCAACGCTCCCCCTCCCCCCGTCGCTCGCGACCCTCAAACCACTACCCTCCCCGAACAAGACAATTCACCCCCTCGCCACCCCCCTACAATGACGACTACCACCACTCCCCCCGCCCTCGCACCGGTGGTGGTGGCGCGAACCAAGATTACTTCCACGACCACCCCCTCAACAACAGCAACCCTAACCCTGACTACCACCGCGGCCGAACATCACACGGTCAACAACAACGGCCGCCGTTGACGAGGTCAAAGTCGACTTCGGCAAAAGAGTTCTTGGTGACAGGGTTGGAAAAGGTGCAGCATATGAGCCCAAGGTGGCAAAAGGCTGCGCAGGCCGCGGTGCAGGCGGGGGGGTTGGCGGCGTTTCAAGCGAGAAAGCAGCCGGGGGATTGGGTTGGGGCTAAGGGGGTCAAGGTTGCCACCGCGGCTTTTACGGCTGGGTTGGCGAGCAGTAAGATTCATAAGGAGAGGGGACGGGATAGGGAGTATGAGAGGGATAGGGATTATGAGAGGGATAGGAGTTATGAGAGGGATAGGAGCCGGGATAGGAGCCGGGGGAGGGATCGGGACAGGGAGAGGAACAGGCCGACGGGGGGCCAGAGGAGGGGGAGTAACCTGGATGCTATTGGGAATATGGTTGGGGGGTTTGTGGCTGAGCAGTTTGCGAAGAGGGCGCAGAAGGATAGAAGGTAGAGAAGACGGTGGGTGAATGACGTGGGATGGGCGTTTTGGGACACAAAGGCATGTGATGATGGAATTGATAATGGGATGCATGGTAATGGGCACGACAGATTGGCTTGGCGGGCATGGCAACCGGTCTAAACAAATGCATGGGACGCGTATCGGGCATTTTCAATAGCCATGACATTTCTTCGAACATTTATTCAGCTCAAATTCACCTTCTCAACCGCATCATCCAGAGGTTCAAAGTGACAACCCCATCAATCCCTCACAACCACCCCCCCAGGCATCTCCCCCAACCACCCATCCACCCCCTCCACCACCCTCCTCTCCCCAAAACACCCATTCGCCCTTTCGATCGTCTGCACCGGCAACCCGCAAATCTGATCCCCGGAGCAATCCACCCTGTCAAACGTCCTCTGCAGACTGTTCCCCCTCCACCCAAAGACGTAATCCCCATGATGTCCATACCCAACCCCATCCCCAAAGCTCCACAAAAACGGCTGTTTCCCTTGTTCTTCCGGCCAGAGATCGGGATCGTTGAAAAGGGTGGTGTCCCATCGTGTCTCGAGCATGATTTGCGGTATCATCACCGGATGGGAAGCCGGACATTTCCCCCCTTGGGTGTACCCTACCGTGCCGCCCTCTGCAAAGGAGACATGGGATTGGTGGTCGGGGCTGTCGAGGTTTTTGCCGTCCCAGCAGGGGGGGAAGGGGAGGGTGGTTAGGATTCCGTAGGGGCAGGGGTGGGGTGGGAAGGAAGAGGTGAGGTTGGTGAAGCGGGTTCCTTCGGTTTCGAGGCAGGTGTAGGTTATGCCGTCGTAGAGAGCCGTGGGTTGGTGTTCTGGTCGAGGATGTCCGGATTCGTTGACGGGGTGGACGCGGTCGGGGTGGCCTACTCGCATGCGGAAGCCCGGGGCAAAGGCTTTGATCGTGCCGGGTTTGGGGTTGACGAATTGGGGAAAGTAGTAGATTGTCATGCCGCCTTCGCGGGCGGACTCGTGGAAGAGGGAGCCGAGTTGGGGGACGCGGTGGTAGGTGTTGTTGCGGGCGCGGAAGTACATGATGGCGGTCCAGTAGTTGGAGAAGTCGTCTGTGAAGGTGCAGGTGGTGCAGGTGGAGAGGGTGGCTGGGTCGTGGGTGAGGGGGTCCATGGTGGTGTTGAAGGAGTTGCCTCCGACGATTTGGTGGATGTGGGGGGTGCCTAGGACGCCGGGGTTGACGAGACTTTGTGGAGGTCAGAGCAGTATCGTTTTGGAGGCTAGGGAAAATGTGTCTTACGGATCGATGCGGTCTCTGACCAGCTGGGAACACGACATCTTGAGGGATGCTGGGCGGTATTCCCTCCGAGCCGTGGCCAGCCCGACCATGGCAAGAAAATCGACGTATCTCATCCTCATCTGTCCGCTAGGGAAGTCGGTGCGATCTTTCGGGTTAGGTATCTTGGAGCTTTCAGGCCCAGTGGTGAGGTATGGCTCAAGTGCGCAAAATACTTATATTTTTGTTGTAAAGATCAGGCGGACTCCGCGGAAGGTGGCAACCGTGATCGTCCCGTCTGCAAGTCCTATAACTACCAACAAATCCGGCAGGGTATTGATCAATCTCAGCATGATGTTGGTGTTGGTGGTAGAAGGATTTAGCCAGTACTGCTTGTCCCTGCACTACAACCACACCATAGAACAGGTCTTAATATGCCGTTGTTTCGCAATCATGACGATTGGCATACAGTCATAAGCTGCCGGAGGACCAGATACATCGTGTTGTTGCCGCACCCTCAATTGTCAGACAGATGAATTCCTTACTAGGTGCCGATCGAATGCTCATTCTCAGCTATCCCATAGCCCCACGCTTTCTACAGTGCTCTCCTCTTCCAGCAGCTTCAACCGAAGATTCAGCATGGTAACCGGATTGACGCAGACAGTATCGTCCTCCTCCTCCTCCAACTCGAGATTCACTTCGACTCGCACCTTCTCCCCAGTAGAGGGAACCCGATAATGCCATCCGGGTGAAGAGGTGGCCGGTCCGTTGATTTGGAAGATTCCCCGCTTATCAAAGACCGTCCCTCCACCGTTGGAACTCGGAATTTGACTCTGGTCCACCGCGCATGTTTCCACCACAGTTGCCGTACCACTCAGCCGCCCATCCAATACACTCATCATGACTGCTTCGGCCTTACGGCAACTTTCAAACTCAAGCCTATCCAGCTGATACTCCAGCAACACTCTGAAGCCAGGATCCAGGTCTTCCAAGCTTGCCAGAATGATGGAGGGTCTTTTGATATTCCAGCGAATACAGCCCACAAACAAATTGATTGGAATGCAGGTGGTGGGAGTATCGGCCAACTGCCCGTGGACGAAGAAGCCGCACCAAGACTTGCTTGTCTTGTTGGTGCCGAAAAAGACGTTGTCGTGGATGTCCCAATGTGTTCGAGGCATGGCTCGACACTCGTTGACGATCAAGGACGGATCCAGCCGCAGTCTCAACGCGCCATGTCTATTTCCAACGACAGGATCACAGCCCTTACTGAATGAAAACACTGTCTCGAATTTGGTCGCCAATGTTGCAGTCTCCACAAGGGTCCTGTTTATGTCTTTCCACGGCTCGCGGGTGAGTGCTCGTCCAAAGTAAGCCAGCTTCCAGGGTTTGTATCTCACATACCGACCACCGGATATCTTACGAACCATTACACCAACAAATTCGCCGTTTAAAGAGCTAAAAGTTTCCAGGATACACTTGTTCCCATCGTCTTCGCCGACCTTGCTGACGAGATATACCAGACTGACAACCATCTTGATGCCCCTCGGCCCGATGCTTAAATCGCGGTAGATAGAGTCAGTCACACTGACCTCGAGATTCCTCGCGCATTCAAACGGCCGCGGAGACTTTGCAAGAATAGCCGACCAAGGATGCGGTTTGCTTGCTGCCTTGATACGACACTCGTTGCCGCCCCTGTCGTTTCCGGTACAGTCCTTCCGCTCATCTTCGCCCTCAGTCCATATGAAAATACTCCGATCCGCCGTCGACTCCAAAATAACCTTTTGCAGCCGCTGAAACGCACCCATTCCCTCCCCATACAACAACGACATCCTCACGTCAAAGATCCCAAGCAGACAGTACGCCGTGTCCTCCTCCCTTGTCGTTACCCTCTTCGAAGCCCAGCTCATGCGTCTAGCAACAGCATAATCACCACACGTTGTCTCCCCCTTCAACAGCTCCTCCGGTATGCCCGTGATTTCTGACAGCAACCCACTCAAGCTGGCCTTTGTGCCGCGCTCATTCCATTCCCTGTCAAAGAAGATGACGTGTTTGGGCGCGATCAGCTCCTGGAGGGTCCAGCCCCTGGTAAACCACCTGCATTTGGGGAGGGCTTTTCCCAAGTCATCCCCAGCAGGCTCCAAGTCGCAGAGGTAGACGAAGCAGACCTTTGCTTTGGCATAGTAATCGTACATGGAATTGATCGACTTGGTGAGCTCGGCGGAGGAGCTCTTGTCGATACAGCAGGTGTCCACCCACGCGTAACGGACATTATGATCGATACGGGCCTTGATGCAGGTCTGCAGAATCTTGGAATAGCCCGGCTGCTTCTTCTTGACAAGCTGACAAGTGTCTTGTTCGTCCTGGGTTGAAACGAAAAAGAGGTGAAAGGCCAGATAGCAGGAGACCAGCATCAGGGATAGCACCAGCAGACACGTCGTCAGAAAAGCTAGGTAGAGTGGGACTTCACCGACCGTGTAGGAAAGGAGTGACCATAAGCTGGCGGCGAATAGTATCGGTATGGTGATTATGACCTGTCTCAGCCGCCGAGAGGAAGCAGCATGGCGGTGAAACAGCGGCAACTGTTGTAGAGCAACTTCGGTAGAGTCATCCCAGGTGTGAGAGAGGATGGCGTAATCGGGAATGTCGGGACTGCAGTCATTGAAGTTGACGACTTTTAGTTGAGGAGTTTGCGTGTTCCTGGCTTCGGGACCAACAGTGAGAAGGCGCATTGTGGTACTCACGTGAAACGTGGGTGGAGCAAAGGAGTATAATCTAGACTTTCAGGGTGTGGTGTTGTTGTTAAGTCTGTGAAACCTGGGGGACATGAAGCGCGCAAAAAAGGCGCCAGGTATCAACCCCTCATCAGGCTGGATCCCAACTCTCGTTTACCTACAAATAAACTCTCCTCACTAGCTGGCCAAGAACTTAACAGCAGGTGAATATTGGTCGGGCAAAAACAGCCATGCGTTATCGATCAAAGCCTGACGACAAACCTGGCTAGTAGCAATCTAAATGCAGATAAACGAACAGAGTAACTGCAGATGGGCTCACGCAAGGCACCGGCAGCCAAGCACGCAGCCACACCACCTCGGTTGGTGTGGCTTTCCGAGAGGCAGATATCTCAGCTGAAAGATGTGAATTGGTTCGAGAGGGTTAGGGTCAACGATATGCCCCTTAACTACCCCTATTTCACCTAGGGGGACGCCGCCCCACCCCTAGGTGGCCAACACGCCAACCTCGCAAACCACCTCGCGATCCTATCTCTACGCCTACGTCTAGCTGCACAAATCAAATCTCAGTACATCAACACATCAAAAGAACGAGAAAACTAAACCCAGAAACCCCTCCACAATCAAAACCATCCACCAAAACTCACGGAATAATCCAGGGCGTCCGCTTACATACCATGATTTTCATCATCCGTCCCCCCCATCTGAACATCACCCCCCTCC